AGGGAACTATAGCCAAGAAAGTCCTTCACGGAGCCACTAAGCCCTAAACCCCAAGCCCCCTTCAAGGGACCAAGCGGCTCGGGAGCGATAGCCTTGAACTGACTCGGGTCGCCAACCTTCTGCATGTACACCGCCCTGCCTGAGTGGTTTAGGGTTTGGGGTCCCTAAACCCTAAACCTTTAGGTTTTGATGTTTAAGATTTTGGGTTTAGGGGTTTGGCAGGCATTTGGGGCAGAGGTGGGTTGGGTTAAGCTATGCTTCTCTGCAGACAACCAGAAAATCTGAGTTAACCCTCGACCCTAAACCATCACTGCTGCATGTAGATGGCGCAACGAAAACCTCAGACATGACCAACGACCCCAATACGGGCCCACTTTAGAATACGGTTCCTTGGAGGGTCGGGGGACTTAGTGACTGGGTATTTTAGGGACTTCTAAGTACCATAACCCCAATTAGGGTTCCTTTTAGGGTACTTATAAGTCTACTTACTACCTACTTACTAAGTCCCCCGACGCTCCAAGTACGGGGCTTATATCAAACACGTCGTCTGGTCAAGTACAATTGGGATTGGGGGACCCTTGGGGATATGGACGAATAAGGTCGGTTTAAGAGGGCCAGAAGTAAGGTTAAGAAGGGTCCCCTTGAAGGGTCTCCCTAAGACTACCTACTATGGGTGCCTTGATAATTAGACATTAGAATAGGGCTTTGGGGGTATATTTTTCTATAGTTATTATAAGGAACCCACAAAACAGTGCACGCAATTGTTCAGAGTTTAGGCCCCTATGTTAGCATCTTCCTAATACTACCTAGGACCAAGGGGCCGCGATAGGATGGCGGGCTCGAGCGACGTGGACTGGGCGACTGTGCTGTCGCACCCAGCTGTAGTGGATCCATGCCTTCGGCTATAAGAGGTAGGGTTTAGGGTTTAGGGTTAGACAAGGGGTAAGTAGGTATGGCCTTTGATATGCGTGGTCGCGAAACGTCATGCTCTTCTTGCTACCGCGTGATGTCTGGGTCTGGGCCCTAGAAATGCAAGTACTCTAGGGACCTGAAGCATTAGAAAGGGTTTGGGGTTATATGATACTATAGTTATAATAAGGACCCCCAAACCCTATTCGAATTACTCAGGCCCCTACATCATGTTGTGGAGTGATGTGGAGGTTATGTGACACTTGCAGTGCACGACGACACGAGGCTCCCAAGTTTCTTCTGCAGGGTGATCAGCGTTTTGGGGTTTAGGGTGTAGGGTTTAGGGTTAGGCCTGTAGAAGGCTTCGGTAGACGTGTCAGGAAGACAAGAAAGATAATTGAAGTGTAAACGGAGCCCCGAACCCTTAGACTCAAAGATCTTTCAGTCTCATCGGTAGTTGTTTTGGTTAGTACAAGTCCCGAAAACAGCCAAAGGCTCACTTCAGTTTATGTCTAAGTGTCCCTCCTTCAGGAGCTTCATGAGAATAGAACAACCCCCAGACCCATATAACACCCCCTGAGTAGAACCGTTGGAGGTAAGCAACGATAACACTGAACCCTACAGCGTTAAACCCATTGAAACGCAACAATACAACGAAACAAAAACCTACTAAAACCTGTTTTCCTTACCCACCAAGTTTTATTGTACTTATATGTATATATATATATATATATATATACATATATATATATATATGCTATTCTATGTTATACTATGTTGAAGCAACTTTTATACTTTGGTACATTACATTATACACTAATGATTATTGATGTCATGTTACAATAATTCTTGACTTACATATTACATTATACTTTAAGTTGTGTTACAGTTATATTGACCGGTCCGCGCCAAGCCACAGTCCTCCGGATCCACTCGAAGTGCACGCCCGCTGCGCGGTGCCTCTCCGAGCCTCTGGGCAGGGTTGTTCACGGGCTTTGGGTTTAGGGAACAGTGTTTAGGGTTTAGTGTTCATGGGTTTTTGAAGGGATGTATGGGGAGTTAGGGTCTAAGGTTTAGGATGTAGAGGGTTCGCCAGAAACTCCTAAAGTATTTATAAAGGCTTGTCTATGAGAGTGATAGTGAGGAGTCATGTCTTCATTGCCTCCTACCAGTCAGAATGACAGGCGAAGCTGTTGTTGCTGGAACATACACTGCATGCAGCCAATCTTGGACTAACCCCGAAAGCCCCCTAAACTCTCAACCAAACCAACCAGAACTGTGAACCCTGAAGACCTTTGCGACAACTATTGTGGACTAGGATGAATATCTGGCCGAAGAAGGGCAAGAAGCTGTTGTTCGCTTTTGGACGGGGGGGACTTTACTGTAAGGCCTTTAAATATATAGTAGTAGTAGTACATATTCAGGCCTCTGTAGTTGCGCAAGTTACTCACAACCACAGCGGAAGAAGGCTCAACCTGCAAGAATGGCAGAAGGCTCGGATCGGGAAGGTTTTTCTGCCTGTATCACTATATATACTTCTGAGACCTACAAGAAGTGCAAGCCTGTGCACCCCAGAAATCACAGCACACATGTTGAGCGACTCTCATTCAGAACTGCCGTGCGCCAAACTAAACCACTCTCAACCCCGAAACCTTAGCCTCAAGCACAATGCCTAATTGCCTGTACATATATATATATATATATGTATATACACATATACATATATATATATATATATATCATGTGTAACTATCCCTCGACACCAACACACCGGTCTGTTAAGCGTGGATAATGCATCCAAGTTTCGTTGCAGGGACCACGCTGAAACCCTCCGCTGCGAGCCCCATGTTCCCCTGAATTTCGGGGTAAGATCCAGCTTTTAGACTAGTCGGCTGCCCCCGGCGATTGGGGGTCTGAGCAGGATCCTCAAGTTCATTTCGAGAACCAACCACCTATAGATTGCATGCGCTCTTTCTCCAACGGACGGTGACATGAAGACTCAACATAGCTGCCGGTGGTGAAAAGAAACCAACAAATGTGCTACGTATACCCCACCCGAGAACCTAGTGTCAAAGCCTCAAGAACTCCATCCAGGTGGCCGAAGCACTAGCTATGCACTAGCTTCCCCCCTTCAAGAAATCTCCCTTTTAAGATCCTTATTCTGATTTTCGTACATATTTTCTACAAAAAGGGCAAGCTTTTGGGTGTCAAGGTAAGGCTTTGTACTCTTGTTGTGGTTCCTTCTTGTGATTTTTGTTTCGGCTACTTTCCTTAGAGCGCTAGCCTGTTGCCCGTTTGAGGTACCTGCAAGCTGGCGACCGCCCTGGCAGTGGGATACGGTCCGGACCCTGGTGGTGGCGGTGGCCTGACTGATCCGGTTCGGCTTAGGCTCAAGCACATACATGCACACTCACTTGCATACATGTCTATATACATGTAGACATATACGAACATGCATGCATACCGGCACACAACATGTCATGTAATGACATAGAAACGCAGGCTGAATACAACATATTAACAAAAGTAACAAAAGCATATGTTTGCAGATTCGTGAAGATACTGTACATGCGCTAAAAGGAATATATATATATATATATATATGTATGCTTGATTCAGCTCGTGATCGGTCTCCATGTCGCGAAGTTCTCAAAGGCATCATAACTTGACACGGGTTCATGGATTGGCATTGGCTTCACACAGACCTAGCAGCTTTTCCTGACACACTTCGGGGTGCATGTCCAGCTTGAAATGTCTACCTAGCTCTCGTGGGCCAGCGATGGAAACCACGTCAGTGAATTGTGTTTAACAATTTTAACATTCAAACTCCCGCAAAATCAATCTCGATCACATCTTCGGTCTCTGACTCACACGCGAAACTCTCGACTGGACCCCCTTCCACCGTAAGGTGTGCGGTGGTGTTCTGCCGGCGAGATACGGCGGTGCTGGAGGAAACGGCGCAAGAGCCATGATGACAAAGGTGTGGATTGCGCTCCGGGTTGCGTTTTGAAATTCCAACCCGAAGCCCTAAAGCAGAATCATATGGCTAAGGGTAGGGGGCGAGCTTCGTAGAACCATTCACTCAATCTGTCGGCTCCTGCACGAGATCCTGAAATACTGAGTTTTGGTACCCCACTGTTCAGAAAACTTCTGATACGAGTCCTACTGATGCCGCTGCTCAGGCTCTATGTTTGGGTCCCGTACTTTTCAGACTCAGGTCTGCGAAACTGGGGCGGCAAGGCCGCTTGAGTTAATCGGCAGCGCGGGACGAGACGGTGCATCAGAGCACTTCACTGTCCGAGAAACGCTGCATACCACAGGAGTGGCAGAAAGAGTGAGCAAGAGACAGAAACAGATTCTTGAGCTGTAACGTGTTTGCAGAGACTGTCCTGAAATCATTCTTTCTGAACTCCAGCATTTTGTGTCCTCATGTTCCATACTTAAACGTGGCAACTAAGACAGCTGGCCGTCATGAAGGTCAAGGCGTCAAGACAGACTACCTTAGTTGCTGAGTTCCCTTACCCAAAAATTTAGCCCTTGAACTATGGTAGACTGACATGAACCCCCAATTACTTCTCTCTATGATACCCCAAATTCCCACTATCGAGGACCATAAGACCTCCATTAAGGGGCCATCTGGGGGTCCTTGTGACATGAACTCCAAGATTGAAAATCATCTTGATGGACCCTAAATAGCCTACCTTCTGAAGAACTTATACAAGGAAGTCATAATACGGAGCCCTGATAAAAGGTAGGTTCTTCGGGGTTAAGGCAAGATTTGAAATCAGCAGCTCAGCAACTAAGCTGCCACTCGAGACCGGCCCGAAATCTACACACTAAGAACCCAAAACCTCCAAACCCCAAAAGCTCTAAAACCCCAGCCCTAAACCTCAACACCCTAAACGAACAAAAAAAAAAAAACCTAAGAACCTAAACCCCCAAGACTCTGAACCCTAACACCCTGAACCCCAACACCCTAAACCCTCAAACCCTTAATCGTACCCTTAAAGTTCGGGTTCCTCCGAACCTAAACCCTATGAACTCTAAACCCCTACACCCTACACCCCTGAAGGAACCCGCAACCCACCGGCCTCTGAAGTTCAAGAACAGCTTCCAGTATCTGCCCTGGACCACCTGGTGCCCAGAGACTCCGAAACGCTTCATTGAGGAATATACCAATTAGGAGGAAATAAAGCGATCTGTAAGGATACTATAAGGGAAGGAAGGGAAGAACATACCTTAGGTCATATTAGAGTTTCTACTATAGTTTAATGTCTATTCCTTAATTGAGGCTTTTGGCGTCTCTAGGTGGTGAGCTGCCAGGGTTTGAGCTGCAGCTTTAAGGTTTGGGCGTTTGGGGTCCGGGGGTCTAGGGTTTGTATCTTGGGGTTAAGGGTTTATACATGGCTTAGGGGCTTAGGGTCCAGGAAACTAGAGTTTGGGTATAGGGGTTTAGGGTTTAAACATGGGGTTTTGGTTTGGCGCCTTAGGGGCGTAGAGTCTACGTAGAGGCTTTGTGTCCAGGAGTTTAGGTTTTAGGGGTGTATAGGTTCTAAGTTCGAAACGTTCAGGGATTCAGGCTCCATGAGTTTGGGGTTTGGGTTCTGGAAGATTAATTTTCCGCCCTTTAGGGTTTCAGGGTCCGGGGATTTAAGGGGTGCGGGTTTAGGGTCTGGGGTTTCGGGTCTAGGAGTTGAGGGTCCAAGGATCCAGGGCTTTGGGCGAAGGGGTTTAGGGTCCAGGGTTTGTGGTTCAGTGACTCAGGTTGGGTCCAGGGGACGAGGGTTCAGGGTCTAGGGGTTAAGGGCTTAAGGCTGTTATGTTTTAAGGCTTGGGGTCTGATGGATTTGGGCCTGCAGTAAAGGCTTGGGCTCAAGGCTTCAGGTTTCATGTGATGTTTGGCTCTTGTGAAAGAACACACTTCAGTTAGCATCAGAGTGTGCATGGTTTAGCGATGTATCTGAGCTTTCCAGCGCAAATTGAACCTTAACGAGAAGACATTCAAGGCTCAAGGATGAAATCTGTGTCTCAGGTTCATCTCCGATGACGTCAAAAGGCCTCGACTTGGCTCATGTCGACATCCTCGAAGTCCTGGGGTGCACATCCAAGCGATTCTGTTGCAGGATAAATGTGTACAAAGGGTTTCTTATAAATTAGGGCTCGAAAAAGCAATAGGGTGTTGGGAAACGAATATGGATTCGCGCATCTATAAGCCATCGACGGCGTCTAAGATGCAGGGATGGGCCTTCATAATTAAAATAGGGCTTCGACGTTCCTTTGTAATATAATTGCATATGTCAAGGAACGATCAGGAACAAAATAGCAATTATATTATATAGGCTTCAGTATTACATGTTCATGGCAAGGACATCGAATTTGAGATGCTGGTGAGCTTGGGGCACCGAGAGGTCCGGGAATGAAGCTCTACACACCTGCGCAAGCCCCACAGTCCTACTTGCTTTTCCATTGGGCCCCACAAATGGAAAGAGACTTCCAGTGTCCGACAGGGTTTGCTGTAACATTGCATGTAAAGCTCGCCATGCTCAGCTACCAAGAGAGACCAGGTTCCTCAACAGCAAAGTTGATTTGTTCGGAGTTTGCTGTGAAAGCGATGTTGATGCCGGTCTAGAACTCACCCGTTCAGAAGCATAGGTAATTACCCCAGCAGTTCCTACAACAAGCAAGGTAGCCCTGTGTGCCTGTCTCTCTGTGATGTAATGACTGCCAGCGAATTAATTATGGCTTAAGTCGACTTAAGGTTCGGGGTACAGCACAACTACCAAAGCGTGAGCTAGACTCGTGCAGCTGCCTGCAAACCATCGTCGTTGAAGGGTCCCAGCAATATGACCTTACTTGACCACAGACCCTTTGAACATCAACATGATGTGTTGTTTCATGCCTTGAGGTGTTCCTTGGTCTGGCCGGTGTGTACCGCCATGAGACCTCTTTCCATGGGGATGAACATCTCTGGGTGCATGCCGTTCGACATGATCCTTCCCCGCACGTGCCCCTTGGGCGGCTCGCCTTGGAAGCCTCCCCAAACTGCAAGAACTTGTTGACTGTCCATCATGGTGGTTCACGGCTCAATTAGTTCCGCACGCTATGTGCAGGGCCTGCTCCGGCAGAGTCTGGTGTGCGAAGGCTGCGCAGACTTCGTCCGCATTGACGACGTAACCAAAGTGTTGACAGAGCCCTCCAAGCTGGGGTCCAGAGAAGCAAAATTACCCTAAGTGTGCATGTGACCAATTATACTTCGCGCCCAATGTACCTACATAGGGAGTACCTTAGGGCCCAAGTATATGCTACTGCATTTGGGTACATGGGCTTAGGGTTAGATCATGTCACGAACGGCCTAATCATTCCTACTGCGGGACGCACGTTGATTCATCAGGCCTACGTTAGTACTCGCACAGAAGTCCACAATACTTGCAGCAAAACATCGCCATGAGGTTAGATTCGATGCCCTTTCTCGACGTGAAGATCTCTTCGAAGTGTAGTTAAAGTGTATTCCCAATGGTTTCTCCCTTCAAGTTTAAAGAGCACCTGGACTGCTCTCCCAAAAGCCTCATGAAACCCTGTGCCCAGCACCGCAAGGCTTTAAACCGAAAAGACCCAAACCCTAAAACCTGAAAAACACCGCACCCTGCCCAAACCCAGAATCCCAAACCCCAAACCTTGAATTCTCCGTCCTGCGGGCCGTCAGGCTTTTCTGCCTGCCAACACCACCAGTGTTGGGAACTAGGGAAAGTGCAAGTAGGCGCTAAGGCTTGCGGCGCATCTGGGGTTTAGAGGGAAAACTACACAATAACAGGCTCCGTAATTGGAACAGGGTCTTGGGGCCATTGTGGGGCAGATGAAACTATTTCTATATTCTGTATATTCAAAACCATCAGGAACAGTAATTGGCAACACTCAGGCGCATACGGAACATTTAACATTCCTTGGCAATTCTTCAGACCCCTCCAGTATCTCCAGCAGGGTTCGACTGCTGTGGCTATGCTACCATTCCGGACTCACTTGACACAGAAGCTACAACCATGCCGCCCAAAGGATCCTAATGAAGGAGTACTTACCCAAATCATGACAGGAATCCCTACTGGAGCAAACCTACTTTCTACTCTGACAATACTCATAAGTAGGACCCTTTTCAGCCCCATGGGGCATAAAACAAGGACGGCTTTCCTATGCTGTACCCAGAGGCTCCGAAGTAGTTCCTTTTTGAGGCTACCTTATAGGATTCTAAATATGAACCCTAAAAAGGAACTACTATGGAGCCTTAGGGTATTTATAGGTTGGAAGTACAACTTGGGAACGCTAAACCCTATAAACTTAAGCGTAAGTAAAACATCTGCAAAAGTAGATTTCTCGATCCCTGTTGGGCTTGTCGGGCCGCCCTACACCCTAAATTAGAACACCGAAACCTTTGATTAGACACTCTAAACCCTAAAACCTTTAGAAACCCCATAAGTAAGCCCTGCAGAATCCCTAAACCCTTCATAAACCCTAAACCCTCTAGAATCCCTAAACCCTTCATAAACCCTAAACCCTCTAGAATCCCTAAACCCTTCATAAACCCTAAACCCTCTAGAATCCCTAAACCCTTCATAAACCCTAAACCCTCTAGAATCCCTAAACCCTTCATAAACCCTAAACCCTCTAGAATCCCTAAACCCTTCATAAACCCTAAACCCTCTAGAATCCCTAAACCCTTCATAAACCCTAAACCCTCTAGAATCCCTAAACCCTTCATAAACCCTAAACCCTCTAGAATCCCTAAACCCTTCATAAACCCTAAACCCTCTAGAATCCCTAAACCCTTCATAACCCCTAAACCCTCTAGAATCCCTAAACCCTTCATAAACCCCTAAACCCTCTAGAATCCCTAAACCCTTCATAACCCCTAAACCCTCTAGAATCCCTAAACCCTTCATAAACCCTAAAGCCTCTAGAATCCCTAAACCCTTCATAACCCCTAAACCCTCTAGAATCCCTAAACCCTTCATAAACCCTAAAGCCTCTAGAATCCCTAAACCCTTCATAAACCCTAAACCCTCTAGAATCCCTAAACCCTTCATAAACCCTAAACCCTCTAGAATCCCTAAACCCTTCATAACCCCTAAACCCTCTAGAATCCCTAAACCCTTCATAACCCCTAAACCCTCTAGAATCCCTAAACCCTTCATAACCCCTAAACCCTCTAGAATCCCTAAACCCTTCATAAACCCTAAAGCCTCTAGAATCCCTAAACCCTTCATAAACCCTAAAGCCTCTAGAATCCCTAAACCCTTCACAAACCCTAAGCATCCTGAAGCCCTGAAAGCCTGGTGCCTCCTTCACTCCCAGAACGCGCCATTGCAAGCGGCAGAAGGAGGCCAACTCCTCTCCGTCTCACGGTTGAGGGTTGCAGCGTTTAGGGTTTAGGGTTTAGGGCTTTAGGGTTTTAGGGTTTAGGGTTTCAAGGTTTTAGGGCTTAGGGTTTGGGGTTTCGGGTTTTAGGGCTTAGAGTTTGGGGTTTCGGGTTTTAGGGTTTGGGGGAAAGTATTGGATGGTGAAGTGCTATTCATATCCTGCTTTGGAGGTTACTGCAGATCCAGAGTTCTCATTAACGCTTTCGTTCCTCGGATTTTGTGATCAACGGGGCGCTTGTGTAGATATATATGTCTGGGCCAAGGCGAGACTATTGGGGTACCCGGCAAGTACGACTGGTTAAGCTTCATAGAATATGGCGCTACATATCACGTATGCCAAACCGTTTTCATCATGCTTATTCTCTCCGGCTTTTTTCCGGGTGTCGTTGAAAATCCAGAAACCTTTTACAGTCACGAGACAACCTAAACCCTAAATCCACTTGAGGGACCTCGGATGGTTGGACACGAGTGCAATTACAAGTAAGGCAAGCATTCTCCTACGGTTGATGATATAAATCCTGCATTACTCATAATAAGGAATATACCATAACTTCCATAGTTTAGGTTCCTTAAGGGAATGCAGGATTTATACCAGCAACAGTAGATATATGCCCTACGACAAACGCACGGACCTTTCAGTAGCAAAGCCCGAACCGCCGCAAAAAGAAAGAACAAACACAACATTGTGAATAGGGCTTTGGGAGACATTAAAGTGCATACGTGTGCTAATGGTGGTTAATGAAATATGCGAAGTAAAACATGTTGACATGTAGACCACAAGGGGATATTATTAGGCACTAGCCAAGCCCCTACGCTAACACAAGGAAGCTCTAGTTCATGCTGAAGTGCCTCCTCCTGGATTTCAAGTCACGGGGTTTGAAACCTTTGGGGTTAAGGTTTATGTAAGGCATGTAGGGGTCCATCGGGTTTAGGGGGTTTACCTTGGCCCCGCCCAAAACTCTGCCTTTTTGCAGAAGTTCTGATAAACTACCCAAGTACCGGAATGTATGTTTCCAGGGACCATGGAACCCTAACGAGTCTAGGTCGAGCTGCTCAACCCTGTGGCAAAAAGTCCTCAGGTGCAACGCCAGAAGGCTCAAGCAGAATGGCACTCCCCGGCTTTTCTCCGGGGCCTCTGCGCGAAGTTGAGGTCGCATTACGGTTTAGGGTTTCGTGTCCTGCTTAGCTTGCAGCTCAGGGTTGCGGGAGTTTAGGGGACATAGAAACGAAATATTAAGTGTTTGCATGCAAACCATCGTTTTTAAATGAGCCTCAGAAGAAGTTCCTGCATACTAACTGCGCAGGGTGGTGATTCGAAGGTGAACTGTAGGCTCAACGATTTCCTGGAGCATCCAAGAACTCAAAAGCAAGCTTTTCCGACTTGACCAGCAACTCTACAAACCCTACAGCAAACCCCATAAAGTTGGAAACCGGATAAAGGCCACATAGTGCTGGTATTCCCTATACATTACTCTTAAAGATTGAAGCTATTAGGTTTCCAACTTTTGGGCTTCTACTGTAAACCCTAAACCCTAAACGCAGAAAACATCTCGGAAACCTGTCCGGATGCAGCCCCCCCCAACAAAAGCTTCAAGCCCTCCAGGACCCTCCATCTACCTACCCGCTATTAGACTCTACTTGGAGGTGCATGGGTTGTTATAAGGGTTCCTTTAAGGGTCCCTT